AGTTTCATTGTGGAAGAGGGAAAATCATCCCCTGGGTTAATAATTAGTCAAAAAAAAACAACCCAAAAAACCAAACCAAACTTGGAAAAAAAGATAAGAATAAATTGGTTGTTTTTATAATCATTGAAGTTGATCAGTGAGTCCACCGAGGGGTGTCACTGGGTTCAGACTGTGGCATATATTTGTAAAGGACATAGGAAGAAGGGTGACCAGGCAAAGAGCAAAGTTTGTGACTGTTAGTACTAAGAATAGCTAAATCCAGAGCTGATTATGAAGATTTTGCAGAAGATTCACAGAAAGTTGAGTCACCGGGGATTAAAACAGCAATAAAAACGTCTCCAGAGTAAGTACCCAGTAATATTGAGTAATATTGAGGGGAAAGTGTGACTCTTAACTCGTGTCATTCAGGAAAAAGATCTTGAAGTTGATAGTTTTATGAAAATATCATCTGAGTGTTTAGCAGAAAGGAATTGAAAACATTATTATGTTATACTGCCTTCAGGTCTTGAATACAGCTGAAGTCCCTCTCGAAAAGGCCATAGTAGAATTAGAAAAGACACAGAAAAGTGCAACAATGATGATCAGAGGTAGGGAACAGCTTCCATACAGAAAGAGTCTAAGTAGATTTTGATTTTTTCAGCTTGGAAAAGAAATGCCCAAGGGAGCTGTGCCCTGGCTCTATGAGACCATGAATGGTGGGCAGAACCTGAATGAGAAATGGGTATTCATTAGTTAAACAATTAAAAAAAAAATAAAGGGCAGCCAGCTGAATTATCAGGCAAAAGGCTTAGAAGGAACAAAAGCCAGTATCTTTTCATATGCACCTAATTAAATTGGTGAACTCTCCTTGACAAAAATATAAATGGATTTGAAAAGGGTTTGGCCAAATGAATGGGAGCAGCAGCCACCAATGGCCGTTCAGCACCAAGGTAATCAAGACGCAACCCCAATTAAGGCTCTTGCATCTCTCATTGCTGGTGTGTGACAGGAGACACTGGGGAGGTCTGTCCCTTGCCCACCCTCCTATGTATCTCTTGGGGACACTGCTTGAAAGCAGGGTCCCAGCTTCCCAAAAGCCTGTGTCACAGGTTTATAATTCCTCCTTGGTTTTGATGCCTGTGCAACAAACTCTAGATTTCATATTACTCAGTTAATGTTTTGCAAGTAGACTGATGAGCAGGGGCTGTCTAACTGCATATAAAGTAACTGAGAGCTTGGTGTGGGCAGGTTTTGATGAGCTGGAACAAGCCCATGCAGCCCAGGTGTCCATGTCACGATAGGGAATTGCATCCTGAAGATCCCCAGCATCAGCACGCTCCAGGACTTCTTAAGAAAATGCCTCAATTTTGGTTCTTGTGAGCCCCATCTCCAGCAGACAGTAACAGCTATAATTATCCTGATTGCAATGGAGTGACACCGCTTCATATCAGCAAAGGCTCGAGGCCAAGCACTTCCCATTGTTGCTGGTGCATTTCTTGAAAACTGTAAATCATACCAGGTAACTGCATAGATCAGCCTTAAAAAAAACCCCAAAAACCAACAAAAACCCCACCAACAAACACAATAGTCATTACTACGGTGAGAAACATATTTTTGGAAAGCGAGTAATACTTTAAAATAATTGGAAGTGCTTGTGTTTCCTCTGAATGAGGGATTTAAGATTAGATGCTGATTTCATACCTACTTTGGGACTGATGTAATCCTTGAAGGCAGCATTGGAGGTAGCGCTGATCTGCATCTCTGCACGTTAGAGAAGAATTGGTCTCGATGTCTCCTCTGCAAAATCCTGGAAATAAGAACTAAAAAAAAAAAAACATGACTAAGCTATTTTAAAAATGTAAAGGGGAAAATAGTTGCTTTAATATATTACTGTAGGGGACCATGTACATGAGAAATGGTGATCCAAAAATGATTTAAAACCACCAGATAATGAAACTGACTTGAATATTAAATATACATAAATAAAACATTTATTATACTTCTCAATGCCCTTATTATTCTTCACCATAAATATGTGCTATCATAACCCATGCACTGTCTTGTCACTGCTAATCAGCCCAAAGGCCAAAGGTCATTTGTCATTCAAACCTGTTTATTTTCAACGATTGCAAAATAGAGGAATGAATTCTTGTGAGGAACAATTAGAAGGAATTAAAGGCAGTGGAAAGACGATTGCAAAAGCTTTAAGCAGCAATTCTGACTACAGCAAAAGATGAAGTCATATAAAAAGAAATATATGGTAATGTAGAGTTGTACAGGTTGATAATGACATCTAGGTGCCAAGATAGAATTACCTCCTCTCCCAGCAGCATCATCATTACATATCTCATGCCTGTGATCAGTACATGTCAAAATCCTTCATATTGACAAATGTGCTGTCCACTTGCATCTGTGGAGAATGTTTTAGCAGCTGAGTGATTATGAATCAAACCCCAGAGCTTACAGTCCCTACTGCCTTGCAACGCTTTCACATTTGTTGCCTGACAAGTAAATGTATCTTGACTTCCCTCTGAGATTTATTTATTTTTTTTTTTCCTCACTGTGTTTGATGAAAGACATTTGGCAAATTGGCAGTGGTACCCTGTACGTTGCAATTTGTACTCGGCATTAGGAATCTGAGCATGAAATGAGAGGGCAGGCTACAGGCTAAAGGGGGGCAAAAAAGCCCAACAAAAAACCTAAAGCCAGAGCTAAGCAGCACGTGAATAGTTACTCCAAGAGACAAACGTGCAATTCTGCTCATTAAAATAAAATTCCAAACAAAACAAATGTGCAATTCTTCCCATTAAAATAAAATTTTACAATCCCAACAATTGGAGCAGTCTGTCATGGATTTTTGGAAGGATGTGCTCAGCTCAGGAGCGCTCAGCATCTTGTCTTTCATATCATTTCCTCCCACGTTACAAGCGAGGTATTGCACAGAGCTCGTGCTGTTGTTTTTGTGCTCTGTAGGTGAGATCTTGGGTTTCTTTTTTTTTTTAATTTGTTTGTGGTGTTATCAAGAGGCAGATGGTTCCTCTCACCTGCCAGCAACAATCATGAACTCTCCAAGTGACAATGTTGGAGGTTTTGAAGCAGTTTTTCATGGTCAGTTCCAGGCACCTTAAAGGAAACCATTCTTCAGAAATTATTTAATCCCCACTCCCTGAAAATTGCAGGCAGCTAACCAAGAGTGGACACATAAACCCCAAGTACATGGGGTTTACAAGCAACTAAAGGTAGAGCAGGAATATTAAGAGATTGTAGAAAAATGGGATAGGCATCTAGCACCTACACAACACCAAACCTACCAAAGCTTCATTTCTTATGGGTCTGTCTCATGGTCTGTGACTGTGATGGGCAAGAAGCCTGGACTGAATGGTTGGATGTGGCTGGGACGTTGACAGAGCCTCTCTGGATCTGGCTTGTTGCAGCCCTTGGTTGAACTAGAGTGTTCATAAGGTTTCCTCTATAATATTTTTCTCTGCACATTCTTAAAAAAAAAAAAAAAAAGTCTGTAGGAATTCAGTTACTGTTGGGGTCTCTATTTTTTTCTGTTGATTTGGTCAAAAAAAGGCCAATATTTTCAGTCGATGGGATGTGTAGACTCATAGGCACACATCCACGGAACATAATTGCATAAACTGGAATTTTATAGAAGCTGGGGCTTAAAAATAAGAAGAAATGGGTGCTGGCTAATTTAGATTGTGTATGGAAGCAACTTTCCATTAGAGCAGTTAAGACAGCTCTTCTATGTGCTGGCCTTGCAGACAAGCAGCACCTTGCTGTAGCAATTATGGACATTATTCCAAGTGGGACCACATTGTGGCCACCACCTTACATAATGTGGACCATAATTTTTGAGACTGCAGAGTTGTAGTCTCAAAAATTATGGTCTCTACAGTCTCTACAGTTTGGTTTGTTTTTTTTTTTTCTTTTTTCCCCTTGGCAGTGTATGCTGTTTGTATTTAGGGTTTCCCATGAAGGCATAAAGGGATATTCACCATGACGAGTTCTGTGCTATCTTCTCTTGCAGATGTCAGCTATAGAAAACATGGCTGAAAAGCTGGAGAGCTTTAGCGCCCTGAAACCGGAGGCCAACGAGCTGATCCAGTCAGTGCCATCCATGTTCAACTTCCGCGCGCCGCCGAGCGCCCTGCCCGAGACCCTGCTGCGGAAGGGCAAGGAGCGCTACACCTGCAGGTAGTCCCCAGGCCACCCCTGCTGCCCTCCCGGGCTTCCCAAATCCCTCCTGCTCCAATGGTTGACCATGATGGGTCTTTCAGGGCTCTTTGTGCCCAACAAAGCATGGAAGGTGTTTTGCTTTGGGGTTCAAAGCCAGTTTGGATGAGGCTTTGAGCCACCTTCCAGTGGAAGGTGTCCCTGCTGATGATAGGGTGGTTGGAACTGGATGTGCTTTAAGGTCCCTTCCAACCCTAAACCAGTCTACGATTCTTATTTATTAAATTACTGGTGTTATTAAACAAAGAGTTTGCCCTGTATCATACTGGTTTGATAAATGAGGTGGAAACTGTTATATAAACAATTCCATTTTCCAGATTTTCTCATCACTTTCATATGCACAAGTGTGTTTTCATTATTGATTTTTTTAATCATAGACTACAGTCATGTTTTTTCTCAGGCTTCTGGTTTTTAATATCCAAAGGGATCAGTGATAAAACACGTAACTTATTAGGACTTACGTGTACAGACTTAAAAAAAAATAAATACAATGAAGATAGTCATTGTACATGCAACTAAAATGAACAGGAGCTTTGTCAAGGAGTGCAGAATTAGCTGTGTGGGTATTTTGAAGGCTTGTAGATCACACTGTGAAAAAATAAATGGGATGTTCAGAGTGAAGGGAGGCGTGTGTCAGTAGTCACGTGGACCAGCCACCACCCTCATTCTTTTAAGACGTTGCTGTGGGTGCTCTGTCCCCATGCAAAAACAGGCTGAATGTCATTAATAGAGCTGGGCCAATTATAAACTTAATATTAATATGTTACTTGTACAAAGAGGGAAGGCTCATGATAATTTTCTTTTTTTTGGCCATTTTTTTCCTGTGACATATTACTGAGTTTGGAGAATGGTTTTTAAATTGCATTATTTAGGCCTCTATATCATCTCCAGAATGCACAAGCGTTTGACACTGGCATATCGGTTTACCTGATCTTTTTGAAAACATGTCACCTTCTTTCAAGACATGTTGTTATAGAAACATACCTTGATGGATTAGGTCTTTGAGTCTTGTCTGCTCTGATCCCATTCAGTGCACAGAATGATATCACGTTTGCTGACACGTAGAATTGGTTGAAAGGTTTGAAATTTGCTTACCTGGAGGCAGAAAGCCAAAGCTTTAATAACAAATTCCCTTGATTCCAAATCTGAATTTGATCAATAATCACCTAGTGAGCTTAGAAATTTGGGGTAATCTTTAAAACTGGTGTGTTTTCATATATCCCTTGCTTATGCACCAGAAAATCTGGTTGGTGCCAACAATTCTAGTTTCATTCTTCTCTGTGTGTGTGTCTCAATCCCTTACATTGTCTGAATGCTTTTATTGAAATGGTGTCACACCAAAGCAATGCCAATAGTACCATATATTAATGATTTAATTTGGGCTGTCTATCCAGTGCGGCTCAAATTGAGATGAAGCCACTGAAGGTTGCATTGACTTATCAAACCTTTTCTTATCACAGATACTGTGGCAAGATTTTCCCGAGATCTGCAAACCTAACACGTCACCTGAGGACGCACACTGGAGAGCAGCCCTATAGGTACTGCAACCCCTTCCCCCCATGTGTGGTGTGGCCAGGAGAAGAAAGGGAGGGAATAAGTGTTCAACAGCCTTGTTGGGCCAGCTCCAGTGCTTGCTCCCTGGCATTGATGACCCACCATTGTGTATTGGTCAAAACCAGGGCTTTTTGCATTCAATGCTGATATTCAGCATTGGAGCTGTGGAGATGGGGGAAGGTTTTGGTCCCGGTTAGTGAAATTCTTTTGGCTTAAACAGCCACCCAGGCACCATCTGCAAGTCCTGCCTTTGCCTCACGGGACAGCTGGCTCTTCTGGACCAGCATGGATGAAGTGATTTTCAATAGGGCTCATGGTCATATTTTCCCTCGCAAAAATGTTGTTTTGTAAGAGCTCTGCGGTGTTATTTGAGGTCTAAAGTTGGGTGTTTTGTCCATCATCTTGATTTCTGAAAGGTCCTGGTTGCAAAGGCTTCGCTGTATTTACTGTTTCCTGCCTAATCTGGATCATTTCTGGGGTCTGCTTAACCAAAACCCATGTGGGTGTACTCTTGTGTTGATAAGAATATGTGTGTGATACTGCATCCAGGATAGTCACTTGCAGAAATGTGTATAGAAGCTTCACCTTATTGAGAATGAAAGACTAATTTAAATCAACTGGAAAAGAGCCAGTTCATGTTCCAGTAAAACAAATGCACCAATTTCTGCCTTTTATGAGCTGTAAAGAGCAGAGTAAGCTCATTGTTTGTGAAGAAACAATATGGGAGTTTTTTTGCCTTTAGTCTCTTTAGGAAATGAGATTCACATCTCATTTTATTGAAGGAAGGTCTGGATGCATGTTATACCCATCCACTACATAAAAGCCACAAGCAATTAGTAGCATAATGGACGATTTCAGCACTAAAAAAAAATTTGACATCATTGACAAGCGTAAAGGAGGCACGGGAGAAGTAAAAGATTGAAAAAACTCAAGTGGTGAAGACTGTTGGCTAGTTGCCAGCCAGAGAATTTGGAATAGTTATAGTATGACTTAGTAATGGCTTAAAGAGCAATACAGTAAAGGCTTTAGGGACTCCAAATCGCTACAGAGTATGAAAATTGATGCCTCTGGTACCAGAGTGATAGACTAAACTACTCACATTGGCACAGTATTAAAGGTTGGGATTGTTTATTGCTGGTTTTTGCAAGATAACCAAATTTCCTCTGGGATTAGCAATTGAGCAAGCTAATTCCTCAAGAAAAGATTTAATCGCTCAGTATAATTTAGAAAAGGAAAAGAAATAGCCCCTTTTTTACCTTATTTGAGCATTAGAAGAGATCTGTTTCATGTTTTTTCCAAAAGTGTTTAATTGTATTGTATTGGCAGCACATGAAACAATAGAGTTATTGCTCTACTGTTTTCAAACTTCCCAACTTTGCGTGCAACAGTTTCAAAAACATGGGAATCAATTACCCTAGCTAATTTGATGCCATTAACTCTGAAATACTATGCTTATTCCTAAAGGCAGCATTTAAACTATAAAGCCTAATGTGAATTAAAGCTAAAAAACTCACCGTAGAAGTGATGTCTCCGTTCCAAGAGCACAACTCTCCACTTATCAGCCAAAATTTGTCTTTATTTCATGGAGGGTTTTGCCTCAATAGGGACCAAGGGACTGCAGATGGGTACTGAGGCTGAGCCCGGAAGGTGCTTCATGTCTCTTAGGACAAATTTTACATTTCCACCTACTAACAAACCTTTCTTTTGTTTTGTTTTGGGGTTTTTTTTTTAGATGCAAATACTGTGACAGGTCCTTCAGCATATCTTCTAACCTGCAAAGACACGTCCGCAACATCCACAATAAAGAGAAGCCATTCAAGTGTCACTTATGTGACAGATGTTTTGGTCAACAAACCAATCTTGACAGGCATCTAAAAAAGCACGAGAATGGGAACATGTCTGGTATGTGTATGTATGCCTTTTCCCTCCCCAGCATGCCCTACCAGTGTTCACACACAGGGACTGCACGTTCCCTTCCAACACTACTGAGTGTCAATAGGCACACGTTGCTCAGCGTCTGCTGCTATGAGTGGGTTTTTGGAAAATATGTAAGTGCCTAAGCTCTGCTGACATTTAAAGTGCTTTGAAAATCCCAGCATAAACTCTACCCTTGTATAACTTAATACCCCACTGGATGATGTCTTTTCTTTTGGTTTTAATTAAGCCAACCATAGCATTTTGAGAACAGGCTGGGAAAATTGGTTTAATCCCACCTCTGCAATCACTTGGCTCTTAATAGGAGTCCTAGATTTAGAGTCTCAGGGGGCAATCTAAAAGATTTTCTTAGCACCCTTTAAAATATTGCTGCTATCAGGAGCTGCAAAGTGCTAGCTATTATGGAGGTAATGGTGCCTCCGAAGCCCCAAAGCAAATCGGTCACTGCACAGCAGCAGCACGGGCAGCGACAGGTAGTGGATGTCATTGGTCTGGTTTAGGTATCTACAGGGTTTAATAAAAACTCTGTCTGCAGACTTTCAGACTGTGTTTTGCTCCACTGGAAATAACCAGGTACCTGCAGTGAATGCAGACCTATCTTTTCCCCCATGCACAGTGACTGCAGGTACCTGGTTACTTCCTGTCACTGGTCTCTCAGTGCTAATGAACCTGGGTGATTATGCCAATAGTTGCTCCATATTTGAAGCAATTAGTAGCTAAAATGAAGTTCCTTTTGCTCAGTTCAGCCATTGATCTAACACAGTTATTGGCTGACAGTCTTGGAGTCACAAGGGAAGAGGAGGAAGATGTTGATATAGATACATGGGAAAAGCAATTATAAACTGTGGAAATGGCATCCAGCATGCAAGCAGTCATTCTAGCTGGAAACCACCTTCACCCATGGATAATAACACATCCCTTCTAATTACTGGTTTTACAGCTGGATAAATCACTGCAACCAACTTTTCTGGTTGCCCAGAGAAGCTGTGGCTGCTCTTCCCTGGAAGTGTTGAAGGCCAGGTTGACCATGATGGGTCTTTCAGGGCTCTTTGTGCCCAACAAAGCATGGAAAGTGTTTTGCCAGGTTGGATGAGGCTTTGAGCAACCTGGTCTAGTGGAAGGTGTCCCTGCTGATGGCAGGGGGGTTGGAACTGGATGATCTTTAAGGTCCCTTCCAACCCAAACCATTCCATGATTCTATGATTTAAATGGTTAAATATAGAAAATGTAAAGGAGCAACAACAGAAGTTCTCTATTTTGCTTTAAGGTACTGCAACATCTTCACCTCACTCAGAACTGGAAAGCACAGGGGCAATCCTAGATGACAAGGAAGACTCTTACTTCACAGAAATTAGGAATTTTATTGGAAACAGCAACCACAACAATCAATCCCCCCGAAACTCAGAGGAGAGGTAAGTTGATCTGCCTTCAAAAGGTGCCGCTCTTTTTTCCTTTTCCAGATTAAACCTGATTTTTCACTTTCGATGAGTTATTTTAGCAATCTGGTTGCTTCAGTGTTCACCTCAGGTTCTTATGAAAAGAAACGTGTTGATTCATTCCCTCCCCGTGGTGCATGAACAGTTTCCCAGTGGCAGATGCTGGACGGAAGGTTCATCTATGAACACATTTCTCCTTGTTTGAGGAGCTCTCAGTTTCAAGTTCCCATTGTTGAGTTAAGTCAGTTGAAAAATTCCCTCATTTTATATTCACAGCAGAACAGGTGAATTCTACATCCTATGGCTAAATGTAGAGACTTATGATTTAAATACAATTTAAATGTGTAATTAATAGAGTAGACTAAGCTAAATTCTTGGATCAAATGAAAGATCCTAACTAAAAGTCCTTTCCCGTAAGTAACTTAACCTCAAGAAAGATGCTGACTATCAAAAACTCTGTGAGGCTGTGAGTCCACAGTGCTCTAGCATGTGACTTTTTCCTACTAAGATTTATTAAGTATATGGGTATTTCAATTCTTCTGAACTAACAGAAGAGAGACCACTTCTAAATATTTTCATCTAATAAAAATACAGCTAAGCAGAAAAGGCTGTGGCATGGATATGCACATCAGCTATACATATTTCCTTGAGATTGGTGTTGCATTATGCATTATTTGCCCTTTTGAATTGGCATTACGTTATCAGCATCAAAAATTTCTTACTGTTGGTGACAAACTTCACTGTCTTCTCAATTTCCAGATGCCTTTGTGAAGGGATAAAAATGGTGGGCACAACACAATTTCCACGAAAGTATTGAATTAAGTGATTACATGCATATTCAAATTTCATTCCATCTTGATTGGCAATGAGGGCTTGGGATATTTTTCCTTGCACATCTGGTCTCAACATGTCCTCTGACAGGAAGTCAGCAAAGTGAAAAGGTTGCTGGGTTGTGCAGTGTTTCCTTTCTAAATTTGGCACTTCAGACCGCTCTTGATGGATATTTTATCCCTGGCAAATTGCTGCATTTGAAAGCATAATTAGAGAATCTGTTTTCTTAATCACATGGCTTTTGTTACTTTGGTTGTAGTCCATCTCCCTTTCATTTCTAGCAGCCTCAAATGAGCATAACCAACAAGTTGGCAGTCCAAACTGTGCTCAACAATTTCTTATTTCTGCCTATTTAAATAAAAGATGATAAAGAGATATTGCTCTGATTATCTTAGAAGGAGGTGGCTGCCTCAGCTCTCCTGACTCTGCACAGCCTCAGATTTTTTGATACTCTGATATAAACAAACCATTCTCTAGCTTTTTTTTTTTTTAAATGCAATACTAAACTCATGACCATCAGCTGGAATTTACTCAGAAAATAGATGAAACTCTCTTATGTTTAGGAAAACGATGCTATTGTTGTATAAGAAACCAACTTTCACTTGTGTATACCCCAGAAGAAAGTGTATCTGTTAGAGCAGCAAGTCAAACGTTCAATACCAAAGACGCTGCTAGGGCTCAAACTTATCTCACTCAAACTTTTGGTATATTCCATATTGTCCCGCACAGTTTGAAACACACGGACTCTAAAGCAAACTGCGGGCAGACAATAAAGTTTCCATTTTTATAACTGTATTCCTGGAAGAGTGAGGACCTTTTGCACAATGAGAACAATAGATGAATCAAGGCCTCCATGATACGTAACGCAGCGGAGCTGATCTGTCCGTAGCCTGAATTGATGTGGCTCCACTGAACGCAGCCCTTCCACACCACTAGTACCTCTGGCCATGCACTTGACGTGGCAGTGATGCTGAATTTCTTTAGCTCTCATTTAGTGCGATGGACACGATGCAGCTGCGGATGCTCAGAACCCTACAGGGTTGAGATCATTAGCAAACGAGCCCCTGCTTCAGCTGGGGTATTATGTCCTTGATAAAATCCCGTAGGAAGTAGTTAAGGGAAGTCATTGTCCGAAAGCAAAGGAGAACGTGGTAACAGTGGGTGAACCAAATGGCTTTCCTTGTGTGTATCGCTATAATTACTCATTTAATAAGAATAAATGCACTTAAAATGCTATATGACCTTTCTTTTTATTACTTCTTACCCTTCAAATTAGTCAATAATGTAGCTCAGAGTGGAGGCAATATTGCAGACCACTCTTCAGCTGAAGTCCCTTAGGTTCCCATGTATGTAATCCATACGTTCAGTGAAGTAGTATGGCTTCCAAATGGGTGGTAGTGTGCAAAATTAATTACGCATGTAATTTTGACTTTAAAACTCTCAATGCAGTATTGGATGTCATTTTTGAAAATGCCGGATCTGATTTTCGGAGTTTCTTGGCCCCGACAGCTTCTGTTAAAAGACAATGAGTTGTTTTGCCCAGACTACAAATATGATTGGAAACATGAGATGAAATAATGCGTGAGAAAATTTGGAATGGGCATCTGAACATACCTCTGCTCCAGCAGTAGTTTTAGCAGGAGAATCCCATGCTGATGGTACTGTAACGCCCCACTAATTTTTGAGTGGAATTTGCTCCAATGCTGCCTAAATATCTAAAGCTAAAAAAGATATAAAATACAGAAATCACTTTATTCTACTGAGACAGATCGTTTTCAGATCTGCCTCCAACAATGTGCTGGTGAGGAGCTTTCCTAACTGATTTGTCATTATTGCTTGGCTTTGTTTTGGTACTTTCAGAATGAATGGCAGCCACTTTAAGGATGAAAAAGCCATGGTAGCCAGCCAGAACTCGGATTTGCTGGATGATGAAGAGGCAGAAGATGAAGTAATGATGGATGAAGAAGATGAAGAGAGTGAAATTGCAGGGAAAGCAGTCAAAGAGCCTGTTACGAGTGACATGCACGAGGGGACCCCAGAGGAGGATTACGAGGAAACGAGTACTTTGGACATGAACTGCAAAACTTCCCCTGGCAGGTTGGTTCCTTCCGAGTATTGGTGTGCCCGATATGTGAAATAAAAACAATAAACCATACAAGAGTGCCAGCACCAAACTGTGTGCCGTGGGAACCAGTCTGAAGTAGCCAGCTTCCCAGTTACGATAGCAACGTGCCTCTGTGTTTGGGTCAATACCAGCCCTGTTTTCAGTCTCTTCGTGCAGTTTGTAATCCTTAAGAGGAAAAATAACTGTGCTTGGGGAGCTATTGTCAGGTTCTGGGTGAGACAGGAAACATTCATGGCAGAGATGGTATCTAAACTGACCTGGATCGCCCGTTAATGGTCTTGTGAAAGGCTGTGGAGACACTGGGAGAGAGACAACCCCTCTCCTGCTGCCCACCCTCTCCTCTTTAGAGGAGATTATTTCAGGATCACAGTTCCACAGGGCAAGGTGGTTTATGAGTGTAAAAAAGGGGAAATTGCTCAGATGTGTAAATCTAAGAGGACGAGGAAGGCAGAGTGGATGGTTTAATTGATTTTAAAACCTCTGTGGTGTTTTTGTAGGTATAAAGAGGAGGAGTATAATAAGACTGGACTTTCGGCTTTGGACCACATAAGACACTTCACAGATAGCCTTAAGATGAGGAAAATGGAAGAAAATCAATATAGTGAAGCTGAATTGGCAGCTTTCAATACTTCCCAGCTGCCAGAGGACCTAAAACAACCGTTGTACAGGAAATCCAAATCCCAGGTAAAAGCTTAACTCAGTTAAAATGTTATTGTCGCCAAATACCCAAAGGATTAAACTGTTCGTGTGTGGCAGGCAAAGTCATTTCAGCTTCATCAGCCAGGGCTGTGCTCCACATCTGCAAACCTCAGCCTGCACCCAGGAGCCGTGGCAGGGTGCTCTGCTCCCTGATTACCAAGGATTTTCTTCCTTTTTTGCTGTTTTTATTCCTGTCTGCCACCCACAGAAATTCTGTAGTAAGAACTAGTCCCACTCTGCTTTCAGACAGCCAGTGTGGTCACGCTGATGCTGTGGAGTTTAGCTGCAGCCTTGCAGGGATGTGACTCGATCTTCTGGCTTGGCTTTTTGTTTTTTGTTTTTGTGGTTTGGTTTTTTTTATAGTCTGTTGGATGTCACCACCTCTAGGTCTTCAGCATTTTTCTAAGACAGCAATAACTAGATTGATAGCCTAGTGCTATTTCTTGAATTTTTAAAAAAATATTAATTAAAGTGGGTCTTTTTAGCCCCTTTAAAAGATTCCTGTTTTAAAAGCTGCAGAATATGTCAGTAGAAAAGGTCAGCAAATGAGACTGTGGTATTTGGTGAAGTACAGGACCAGCCAAGGGATAATGTGGTTCCTCAGGCTCTTGAATAGAGCCTCTTGTGCCAAGAATCTGAAGGCAAAGGAGACTCAGGGACTTTGTCTACTATTAAAGGTTTCTCAGAGCTTCGTGAAGCCAGATGAAAGCAGAAATTATTATTATTGCTATTAGCGAGGCAAAAGTGTCAGTGAAAAGGTTGACAGTGGTTTTACCTCATGCGCTTTGATATTTTTTTAAAGCAGTTAAGAATAGCAGTTGTAACCTGAATGATGCCATAACTGCGGAGGGGTGGCACGGCTCCAAGCTCAGATCCACGTCTCAGGATCGTGACCTCTTTGTCCTTCTTCTTTCCCCCTCCAGGCGTACGCGATGATGCTCTCTCTCTCCGACAAGGACTCCCTTCATTCCGCATCCCACAGTTCTCCCAATATGTGGCACAGTATGGCGAGAGCCGCTGCAGAATCCAGCGCCATTCAATCCATCAGTCACGTATGACATTGTGAAGTCTTACCAAGAATTGGGACCAAGTCCAAACCAGTAGCATGGCTCTTTCATATATGACTATTTAAAAAGACTGCTGAGCAGAATGCCTTATAAATCTGCAGGGTCACTCATTTAAAGTCCGGTGACCTTAAACTGAATAATTTTAAAAAAAAAAAAAAGAAAGAAACTATTTATTCTCAATATTTTGTTTTGCACAGCAAAGGCAGCTGCTGACTTCTGGAGGATCAATACAACTTTAAAAAAAAAAAAAAAAAAAAAAAAAAAAAAAAAAGGTTTCAGTGGATTATGTAAACTGAGGCCGGGAAAAAAGTGTCTTCCAGTTCACCCGGCTTTGAGGGACAGGGGTAAAAGGGTTAAGACTGCATTGATACACACATGGGCACTCCTTTAAAGTAGGAACTGAATTGATTTTCTTTTTTGTATAAGATAGTTTGACACAGGATTGGGAACAGTTGCTTTTATGTACAAATCTCTTCGTTAAAGCTTTATGCATTTTAGCCCTTCAAAGAAAGAAAATAGTTCTATCAAATGCACACTATCCATCGTTAATGTAGAAAGAAGTAACAGGGAATATTTTGTTCTCTCCGTAATTCTTTTGCCTTCTCAACTGCATTGTTAAAAAAAAAAAAGGAAAAACAAGGAAAAAAAAAAAAAGAAAGGAAAAAAAAGAACTCTGAGAAACAATACATAAGAGGCTTGTGTATATTGTAAACTATGAATGTTCACTACTCCAAGAAGCTAAATCATCCAGATAATCCCGTGAAAGCACCGCGTTCATCGACAGCACCACTAGTTCAAATCATTGTAAGGAGATTTTAATTTTTGACAATCACGTCATTATTTTGTTGTATTGTTTCCTTCCCCCCTCCCCCCCCCCAACCCTTCTAATTTCTTCTTTGTGTTGTGCGTACCATGTATTTATTTGTTGGCAAACGATTGTTTGTTGATTCAGATAGCACTGTTCCTATAACAGACAGCACTGCTCCAGTCCCCCACTGCGTTACGATGTAAGGCACCCATGTACTTAAAAAAAGAAAAAAAAAGTTAAAAAAAAAAAAGTGAGGTGAACTGATCTGTGTATATGGGAGTGCAAAACAGTGTTTGAAATTTTCTTACATTCCTCTTTTATTTTATTTTTGCCTTTTAATGAACTAAATAACTAATAGATGCAACTTAGGTTTTGTTTTTTGGGTTTGTTTTTTTTTTGTTTTTTTTTTTTGTAATACAGTAAATTGATTCAATTGTATAAACAGTTATAATTTCCTCATGAAAGCATGATTCTTCTGATTAAAAAAACTGTACCCAATATTTTATGCTGGTTGTCTGCGAGCTTGTGTGATGTTACGTTCATGTTAATCCTATTTGTAAGATGAAGTGTTCCAAATTTATGTTTAAAAAAAAAAAATAAATAAATAACGGAAGGTATTCAGTTATTTTTTGGGGGTTTGGTTTTTTGTTTTTTTTTTTGGCCTTTAGAGAGGGACCAGATTTATTTTTCCTTTTGTTTATAATCTCATTTTGAAATAATCGGCAAGTTGAGGTACTTTCTTTAAATGCTTTGTACAATGTAACTGTTACGCATTTCAGTACATTACTATGGGAGGATCAACTTAAAAACAAAAAAAAATAAAGGACTACAAAACTGAAGGGATCTTCTTCCTTATTGTCTCGTTTTTGTCTGGGTTGGGGCAAAAATGTCGCGTTTTGTCTGCAGTCTGAGGAGCAATGACTGTGTCTGTGGGGTCATGAGGATAAGGGGAACCAGATGATGGGGCAATGTGAAGCGTCTTGGATTTTATTGTGCAATTTAGGACCCAATCTAAGTCTCCCAATACACCGTTGGAGTGTTTTAGATCAGTCCTTTAAGCTTCAAAACACTACCTTGGAAAAGAGAAATATTTAATCTGTTTTATCCGAGGGAGTGGTGCAAGGTCACCTTCCAACGCTGTTGTGGAGCCTTGAGCTCAGGTTGCGCGTGGGGATGATATCGGGATGCAGCAGCTAATGGCAAAACAGTGACTCACTGTAATGATAAAAATCCATAGGTTGAGAAGCTAAACGGGTCTCCAACTGCATGGAATGAGCCTTTAGGATCTAAAAGAAAAAACAAAACAACAAAAAGAGTATTTTTGTTTGTGTTCCCTTTGAAATCGAGTCCAAAGCTCTGCTTCTTCTGGACAAGAGCGATGGGAGGTGGCATGTCCAGGAAAAGCCAGAGTTGGCCCAGGAAATTCACATTTTCATGCTCTTCCCATCAGCAAAGAGAGAAGGACTGAAACAGCTCCAAAGGGGACCATGGGTATGTCCCTTCCTGCTAGCCCTGGCCAAGCTTGGTCTTTGCAGCTACTGCACAAGGTGGTCCTTCACATTTCAGTGGCTCAGATGAGTGAATGTGGCAAACTGTGGAGTTTAATTGACTTGAATGAGTGAATGTGGCAGACTTTGGAGTGGGTTTTTTTGTTTGTTTGGTTTTGTTTGTTTGTTTGTTTGTTTTTTGCAGTGGGACCAAGGACTGCTATCACTGGATGTAAAGGAGCTGGTATGAGGAAGCGATGAGGGAGCACAGCGCTGGGAATCAGTAGCCCAGGGCAATTAGTAACAAACTGCATGTTAAATGCAGCAGTGTCCCAGTGGGAAAGGTACATCTAGGGAATATGATTTGCAGGAGATTTGGTTAAATCTGGCTCCAATGAAGACAAAAGTATCTCCAAAGATGGAGATCTTGTCTCCAGGCTGAAGATGCACCTCTGCATGAAGACCTCTTGTAGTTCACCAGATCTTTAAATTACATTTCGGTATAACCTATATATGTCATGCTTGTCTCCAGCCCAGGTACAGCTGGATTTGTTTTGTAACCATCATGTAATAACAGGGGCATCAGCAGGGCTGAATCCAAACACAGTGAGGACAAGCATGGGCTGCCTTTGGTTTGCACTTACAGCTCCCGAGCCTCATGCATAGGTTGGTGGCAAGTTGAGTCCTCCAGGATGCTGGTTTTCATGAAGGAAACCTAAACCACACCTGGAAAATAAATAAATAAATATATTTTTTTAAAAAAGGCTTGTGTGTATGTTCTTGTACTCACTTCACTGGCCTGAGCCAATGGTCAGGTACATGCAGATAATTGCATAAATAGGCTATTATTTTTAGTGCAGTTAAAGTCACCGTGAAACTTGGTTTTAGGTTTCTGCCAAATAAAGAGAACAAATAGAGTACTCAATTTTATCTGTAAACAACTTTCCAGATCGTTTTCCCCTTTAATTTGATGCAATGACAGTTCTTATCAGCTCTACCTTCACCTGCCTTAGATGAAAGGGGTTTTTGGAGGTGGAGAAAGGGTGGGACAGTTTCTCCTGGGTTTAATGTTCTGGGTTATGGGAGCACACTCCCATAGAGGTATCAGGGAAAGTACTCCTTGGGCCAAGCAGTAGGGTTAGTCTAACCTGTGCAGAACCAGGTCTATTGACAATCTGGGAGCAGCTAACACCATCTCATCAAATCCCCAGGACAAGGTTTCTGTTGAGAGCCTTGAGCTTTGTATTTTCATCTCAAATTTATCTCAAGAGGTCCTTCAACTCCGTGTAGATACCATGATCTTGATTTTCATTGCTTTTTCTCAATAGTAGAGCTATTCACTCAGAGAAACAGCTGAAGAACAAACCCAGATTTGATTAACCATCTCATCCCCCAAATGAACATAGGAAACTGGATAATTTTTGTGTTTGTGTCATACCCTCCCTGATGGACCTCACCGATGTGCTTGTCCAGATGCAAATAGATTGCTAAGTGAGGACCAATGTTTCTGGCTTTCTGTTACAATGATTTATATTTTTTTTAGAAAAAATAATTTCAATACTTTTTAAAAAAAACCCCACCCCTTCAGCTTATTTCAGCGTCATCCTCCCGTTCACCTCACTCTAGTAGTTTTCCAGAAGTCAACAAATCATTCCCATGTGATACAGCAGTTTTACCAGATCAAGGAGCCACCTATTACCACCTCAATTCCTATCTACAGAATCTAACAAAGCAGCAGCATGACAAGATGATTAATCAATATTTCACCCTGGCCCAGATCCTCAATACCACTGCAGGTCTGAGTCACCGTTCCTGTGTCAGCCCTTTCTGTTTTACTGCCTTAATAGCCACATTTGTGGGGTAATGGGAGGGGAAGTTATTATAACAACATTTGCGAGGCTGCTGTTGCTCAGCGATTCAGTTTGGCCCATTGCTCCATGCGTGTCTTGAACTTTAAAACTTTCTGTCAGGTCCTCCTTGCTCAGACGTACGGAGAATTGTTGCAAGCTCCCGGCTCGTTTCCCCACACTCTGCTGTCTTCCAGCTATATTAAATCTTTATTTGTGGTTTTGCTGGTCAGTCATAGAGCAGTGTGGATAAGCTAGTTCATTTGAAAGATGCTTCCAGTAATGATTTCAACAAATCAAAGATATCCAGCACCAAACAGAAGATCCTGTCTCCATGTCAAAGACCATATACCTTGCTAGGACTCCAGTTAGAAGAAAAATATATTCCATATCCTGGCCAAAACCATCCTCTTTCCCATCCCATTGAAAGGCTGTGTAGGTTTGTGAGGATACCTAGTCCATGGCTTCCAATAGCCCAATTAACTCCTCTTTTATTTCAATACAGAAAATGGTGCAAGTTTTAGGAAAGGCTCAAATTTCTAATTCAGCGTCACTTAATGAAGTCTCAGGAGAGGGTGAAGGGGAGAACATCAAATAAAAAGTGAAAAAAAAAATTGCATTCCTTTTCTTTTCCTTTTATTTTTTTTTTCCCAACTCGGATTCATTTGTTGCGAGACGAAAACAATTTTCAGCAAAATTTACTGTTTTCCCAGAACTGAGATTTTAATCAGACTAACATTGAAATAATCCCTGAAGAGAGGCCCTGCTTCCACGCTGTTGATTCAAGAACTCATGGTATATCTTGCAAGATTGAAGTTTTTTTTCCCAAAACTACCACCTAAATTTTGCTCAGGACAAGTTATCTCCTGGGTACGACCACAAACCAGACCCAACACAGATCTCTGTGCTGCCGTGTGCTGGATGCAGAGCCTCCTTTTTTGATCCAGGAGAATCCATATTTCAATAGCAATTTACACTATTTATATCTATAAATCCATTTGGGGAAGTTTAAGGAACCTTTTATTATGAAAAGCGCTGTGGAAATATAAAAATAGTCTCACATAACTTGCTGAGGAGGAGCTTTAGCAGTATCTGCTCCAGCTGTCTGAGCTGAGGGTCTGAAAGAAGGCACCTCCAGAAGGCACCCTCCTTTTTCCTGCTTTATTTTAATACTAATTAATTCCAGAAAGGCTAAAGAAATGTGATGAAATGCTACACT